ATCGCATTCCTCCTCCTTCTCCTCCTCCTCCGTCTCCTCCGCATCGCATTCCTCCTCCTTCTCCTCCTCCTCGTCCTCTTCCCTCCTCCTCCTCATCCTCCTCCTCCTCATCCTCCTCCTCCTCCTCCCCCCCCCCCTCCTTTCGCATCCCTCCTCCTCCTCATCATCATCCTCCGCATCCTCCGCATCCTCCTCCTCCTCCTCGTCCTCGTCCTCGTCCTCCTCTCCTCCTCCTCCGCATCTGCTCCTCCTCCTCCTCGCGTCCTCCTCCTCCCCTCTCCTCGTCATCCTCCTCCTCCGCATCCTCCTCCGCCTCCTCTTCCGCTTGTTCCTCCTCCTCCTCCTCCTCCTCCTCCTTTTCCTCCTGCTCCTTCTCCTCTTCCGCCCCCGCCTCCGTCTCCGCGTCCGCCTCCGCTTCTGCGTCCGCCTCCGTTTCCGCCCTTCTTCCGCCTCCGCCTCCGCCTCCGCCTCCTCCTCCTCCTCCTCCTCCTCCTCCTCCTCCTCCTCCTCCTCCTCCTCAGCATCATCATCAACATCATCATCCTCGTCCGCTTCCTCGACCTCCGCTTCCGCGTGCACCTCTACATCTGCTTCCGCCTTCGCTGCCGGTTCCTCCTCCTCCTCGGCCTCCTCATCCTCCCCGTCGTGTTCATAGTAGTTGTGTGGTGCGTCTGGTTAGTCTTCTTATTATCAGTTGTATGGTGCGTGTTCGCCGTCCGTTTCTTAAGAGTCGTCATATTCGTATGTGTATTGGATCGTACTATCACTCGTATGGCGAGTGTCATTAAAATTGTCGTTGCCGTTCGTCTTAGTATTATGCGTTGTCCCCTGATTAGTCGTAGTAGTAGTACTGGTCTTAGTATTCGCATGTTTAAGTATTGCTGTGTTAGTAGTATGACTCGCATCCCTCATTTCCGTGGTAGTAGTATGATTGGTATGGGTATTCAGATTCTGCGTAGTATTATTCGTCGTCGCCTTAATAGTTGCGTAGTGTCCGCCTTATTCGTAGTACTCTCAGTAGGTTGCACAGTGGTTTTAGTATACATAGTTTTGCTATTCGTAGTAACAATAATGTGTGTCTCCCTACGATTACTAGTGTTTGTAGTATTCGCATGCGCCGCCTTAGTATGTTCACTACGTTTAGTATTCGCCTTAATAGTATTACTCTGCTTCTTAGTAGTATCATGATTGATCGTCTGGCTGTGTTTCTTAGTATGATGCCTGGTATTAGTGCAACGTGATAGTTTTAGTGGTATTCGTAGTACCCTTCTTCTTCTCAGTAGTAGTAGCATTAGTATTAGTTGTATTAGCCTTCGTATTGGCATTCCGAGTTTTATCATTAGTATGATTAGTATTCTTAGTATTACTCGAACGGTTCTGAGTATGCTTCTTCTGATTCGTATGATCAGTAGTCTCATTCGCACGTCCTAGCATTCTTCGTATCATCAGTATTATTAGCCGTCGTGTTATGCTCCGTAGCCGTAGGATTATTAGTATTATTCGCATTGTTCACAATATTCTTATAAAAATTACTTTTCTTAGTTTTATGAATGTTCTTCGTGATAGTCCTCTTCCTCCTCCTCCTCCCCTTCCTCCTCCTCCTCCTCCCCCTCCTCTTCCTCCTCCTCCTCCTCCTCCTCCTCCTCCTCCTCCGCCTCCGCCTCCTCCTCCTCCTCCTCCTCCCCATCCTCCTCCTCCTCCTCCTCCTCCTCCTCCTCTCCGCATCCTCCTCCTCCTCCTCCCCCCCTCCTCCCCCTCTCCTCCTCCTCCTCCTTGTCCTCTCCTCTCCTCCTCCTCCTCCTCATCCTCCTCCTCCATCGCCTCCTCCTCCTCCTCCTCCTCCTCCTCCTCCTCCTCCTCTTCCCCGACCCCGACCCCGACCCCTCGTCCTCGTCCTCGTCCTCATCCTCCTCCTCCTCCTCCTCATCTTCCTCCTCCTCCTCCCCCTGCTCAAACTTCTCCTCTTCCTCCTCCTCCTCCTCCTCATCCTCCTCCTCCTGCTCCTCGTGTTCCTCCTGCTCCTCCTGCTCCTCCTGCTCATCGTGCTCCTGTCCTTGCGCTAGCTCCTCCTCCTCCTGCTCCTCCTGCATGTCCTCCTCCTCCTCATCCTCTGCTTTTTCTTAGTGTGATTAATATTAATGGTAGTATTATTATGATGTTTTATTTCTATTACCTGTTTAATAATAATAATAATAATAATATGTATTATTGTTATTGTTATTATTATTGTTATTATTATTATTAGTTTTAGTATTATTATCATTATTATTATTAATATTATTAGTATTAGTATTATTAGTAGTATTATTATTAGTATTATTAGTATTATCAGCATCATCATCATCAGCATCATCAGCATCATCATCATCACCATCATCACCATCATCATCATCATCATCATCATCAGCATCATCATCATCATCATCATCATCGTCATCATCATCATCATCATCATCATCATTATTATCATTATTAGTAGTAGTAGTAGTATTATTAGTGTTGGTGTTACTATTCTTATATTATCAATATTAGTATTAGGAGTAGTAGTATTACGTTTTAGTATTATTATGGGGTTCGTCATATTATTCCTACGCTTATTCGTAGCATCATTATCCTTAGTATTAGCATTGTTAACATTATTAGTCGTATTAGTATTATTCGTCTTGATCGTATTGCGATCACTATTAATATTAATATTAATATTAGTAGTATTACCACTCGTTTTCTTGGTGTTCTTAATATGGTTATAATTAGTCGTATTCTTCGTAGTAGTATGCGTATTAGTCTTAATATTAGTAATGGTATACGTAGTATCATTAATCTTCTTAGTAGTAGTACTAATCGTATCGGTATTCGCATTATGATTCTTAGTAGTCGTATTAGTAGTATTAGTCGTAATATTATTACTAGTACTGTTATTAGTACCATTATTATTGTCAGTATTAATATAACAATTAGCATTTGCATCATCACTAGTATGATGCTTCGTATTATTATTCTTAGTGTAATTATTATTCTTTTTCTTCTACTATTAATAGTAACATTGTGAATGTGAATCGTATTACCAGCATTAGTAATACTATCCTCATTCGTAGCATTATTCCTATTATTCTTATTATTCGTATTAGTTTCATGATTCGTGTTACTAGCATTATTCTTTTTATCCTGAGAATTCGAAGCCTCATTATTATTCCTACTAGGATTACGAATAGTAGTAGCATTGTTATTCATATTGGCATTATCATCATTGTTATTAGTAATAATATCAGTACTAGCCTTATTATTCGTATGGTTAGTCTTCTTATTATTCATAGTAGTAGTAATATTATTATCAGTCTTAGTAGTGTTATTTGTATTAGTAGTAGCGTTGTTTATATTATTAGTCTTATAACTCTCGTGGTTCTGACTAGTATTGTTCTTCTTGTTCTTAATATTACTATGAATAGCATTCGCCTGCTTATTGGTATTAGTATTACTATTCTTCTTATAAACACGATTAGTACTCTTCTTATTACTATACTAGCATTGTCCTTAGTATTATTAGAGTTATTCGCATTGATGATATTAAGATTCGTCGTATTAGTCTTAATCGTTATATTCGTGCAAGTCTTCTTATTCTCAGTAATATGATTATTATTCTGTTTTGTAGTAGTAGTATTATTATTGCTCCTCCTCCTCCTCCTCCTCCTCCTCCTCCTCCTCCTCCTCCTCCTCCTCCTCCTCCTCCCTCCTCCTCCTCTCCTCTCTCTCCTCTCCTCCTCTCCTCCTCCTCCTCCTCCTCCTCCTCCTCCTCCTCCTCCTCCTCCTCCTCCTCCTCCTCCTCTCCTCCTCCTCCTCCTCCTCCTCCTCCTCCTCCCTCCTCCTCCTCCTCCTCCTCCTCCTCCTCCTACTCCTATCCTTATTCCTTATTAGAATATACTCCTACTCCCCCCTCAGGCCGGCAGATAGGGGCCGCATCCGGGTGGTCCCATCCTAACCTGTAAAAAACAATACAAAATCAACATTTTTCTTATTTTTTCCTCTCGACATGGACGTCCTGTCGTCCACGGCGATAATCCATTGCAAAAAATACCACAAAGAGCACACGCGCGCGTTCATGTCAGAATCCTACCGAACACCGTGTGTTTGCAAGCATTTCAACATAAAAACATCAAAAACCCAATGCTTTTTCACAAAAATTGTACAAATTTCCCGCCCGGGCTCTCTTGCTGAAATCATAGGAAAACCATAGGAATCTTAAGAATTCGGTCAAATCCAGCGATTTCACGTCATCGCGCGGTGCACTCGCGATGCTCTGTCATGCACCCAGGCCGCGAATCCTGTGCAAAAAATACTACAAAGAGCACACTCGCGCGTTCATGTCAGAATCCTACCGAATACAGTGTTTTTGCAAGCATTTCAACATAAAAACATATTTTTTGTTTTTTTTTTTAAAAAAAAAAAAAAAAAAAAAAAAAAAAAAAAAAAAAAAAAAATGTTTTTTCACAAAAATGCTTTGGGGTGTCCTGTCAGACCGTCGGGTTTCCTCCGGCCACCTCTGGCTTCCTGCGGTGTACCGGGCCATTCTCGACTCGTCTGGCAATGCGTGCGCGGCATTCAACACGCGCTCGCCAGTTCCCGTCGGCAACCGCCATCGCGGCCGCATCAGCTGTACCAAACCGGCTGGCCGGTGTGACTTCGGCCCCCAGTTGTGCCAGCTTTGCTTCTTATGTTGTGGGAGGGCGGGTGGGACTGGGCATGCCATGCTTGACTCGCTCGAGCTGGCTAGCTTGACTCCTACTCCTACTCCTACTCCTACTCCTACTCCTACTCCTACCCCTACTCCTACTCCTACTCCTACTCCTACTCCTACTCCTCCTACTCCTCCTACTCCTCCTACTCCTCCTACTCCTCCTACTCCTCCTACTCCTCCTACTCCTCCTACTCCTCCTACTCCTCACCCTGTTCCCCTTCCTTTTCCGCGTCCCCTGCTGTTCCGCCCCCCGTGGGAGGTCGACGGC